GTGTTGCTGCAAAAGGACTGCGGAGGCTCAGGCAGTATGTAATTGGCTAGCCGCCCTGCCCATCAATGCAAACGCAATGCTTGGACCGGTCGCGTGCTCGAGTGGCTGTTGCGCGGTCCAATTGGAAAAGGGATCTGAACGCTCCACCCGAAAGGGGGGGCCGGGCCGGGCAGGAGGAGCAGGCTGCGGATTGGATAACGCCCTCGACCGGGCGGTGCCCAATTCCAAAAAGGGCGGGGACGGCGCTCTAATAATTGAATACGGGGGGGGGCTCCGTGAGTGACGTCGTTGAGGGGAGGAAGTTTGCGCGGGTTGTTTTGGTTGCTGCTAAACTTTAAAAGGATTTCCAAAATATATTTAATGTGGCTGTTTTTAGAAAATAGCTACACATTTACTGTCTGGATAGGGGATTAGGCTGGGGGTTAATGAAAACGGAAACTTTACCCTGACTTTCTGCTTTAGAAAATTAGCAAAAGACTGATTTGGTTAGAGGCTGAAATTGGGCTCCTCATTATAAATTCAGGGTGTCTTATTATTTCTGGTTGAAGGCGTGCCTGGGGAAAAAAATGCCACGTGAATAAAATGAACTGCACTTAGTGACTTTTGGAATAATGGAGTATGATGGTGCCTCTGTGTTCTTGTCCAAAAAAAATACATCTTTCTCTCCTTCCCAGGAAGAGAGATGAGTTCCGTGAATTCAAGTGATTTCAAGTAAAATCTCCCCAATATGCAACCCCCCCCAAAAACGGATTTCCTCTGGCTGGATGCCAGCAAAGTAGAGAGGAGGAAATTGTGGCATATAATCAAGATAGTTGAAATTTTCCAGCTAGAGCAGAGATGGCGTCTTAGGTTTTAAAAGGCTGCTAATTAAAAATGCAGTATCTTGTTTCTGTGCAAGAGGATTTGATTTATTTTTCATGTGTGCAAGGGCAAAAGAAAACTCTTGTCCAAATTATTGTCCCGAGGTGAATATTTCTTTATGTAGAAATTAACTAAAAAAATTCTTGACGCCTTGAGCTTGATCAGAGACCTTTCCTGGAAAAGTGCCTGAGTTAATAATATTTAAAAATGGATTTGCATGACAATGCTATTATTTTTAATAACAAGGAAATATTTTAACATACAGTCCATAACTGCAGACCCCCAGGTCATATCTTGTTACATATCTGAGTAATAATACTAATTAGTTATGTTTGTGTAGCCCTAAAAGTTTATTAAGCACATCTGTTTTTTCTCTAATACAGCACCCTGTATCTGTAAAGCCACAAACCTCTGTATGTCAAGTAAGTTTCTCGCCTTCTGCTATTTTCCTTATTTAAACACGAGAGCCGAGGAAAATCTGTAACTTGATTTCTGATTCTTGAAAATTATTTTCCTTGGTGCTAGAATTATAAATAGTAACATTTTGTTATATGGTCAGTTTTAATTCAGCAGATCATACAGTTAGTTTCGATCTATGGCATTACCTCTTTAAAGGGTATTCAGATCCGTGCTGCCAATTATTTGGATTTCTGCAGCCTCTATCTAGTTGCCCTATGAAAAAAAGGCAGCAGATAGGTCACCTCTAAACTAACTAGAAGTTCACAGAAGAATGTGTTTGCTGGCATAGCACAGCTGCATATTTGGTTCTCTGGTGCACTTTAAATAGTGTGACCAGACGTAGTTGGTTACAATTTGGCTTTGAACATCTACATAACTAGAGATGTAAGTTGCAAAAAAAGTGTTTTGCATTTCTGAATACGGGCAATAGGTGTTTCTGGAAAGCTTGGAAACAATGGTTGCCTTCTGCTTGTACCTTGTTCAGAGGTATACTGAAATTCCATTTTAATGTATAAGTAGTCAAGAACTTCTGGATGGATTCAGGAATGAACCACCACCATCCATTTTGTTATAGAAAACAATAAAAAGTACACCTTTCTTCCATACCCACTAGATGGCAGCTGAGTATCAGGAATGACAATTTATTTTCAGAGTTAGCCAGAGGGATTTAAAGAGAATAGATTTTATTGGAGAAGTGGGTTTAAATCCAGCCTTGCGGTAGAGTCTCTCTCTGTCAACTTATACGGTACAGAAGAGAGAACAACAGACAGTGATGACAATACTTGGTGCAATTCTCCGAAAATGGCTACACATTTGTCTTACTCCAGAAATGGATAGTCTGAGACCCCAGGGCCACACAAAGCCCCCAAAATCTATCCAGAAGACATTGTTGCCCGTTGTAAATTCTAAGAGGAACTTTATTAAATATGTACAAATATTCCTAATAACATTACCATGACCATAATGGTATGCAATTAATTTGATGTGTATTAAAGTTTAATGAAATAGAATTGCATTTCCTTTTTCCCCCAACTCCCTCCCTCTCTCTCTTCTGGCATGGTCTTTTTGGGGGGGAGTGCACCCCTCCAAAAGGCCAAACCTGGTCTTTAGCCTGAAAAACACTTGCCTTGTCCTGTTTTCGGTGGAGGCTGAATACACATTATGAGTAAATGTGTGTCAGAAAGCTCTGCTTTAGGGATGGTCTCTCCCCAACTAAATCATTTGTAGAAGGAAAGAATATCAAGTAATGAAGCCAGGTGGGGTAGGTGGGCTGCTGAGCCCTGAGGATTACAGTATCTCCAGATTTTTACCTTGACCTAAGGGACTCCTTCTCATGAGTTGCCAAACACATCTTTCACTGGCTCGGTCAAATGCTTTGGAGCTGGGAAGGGAATGGCAGCTCTGCCAGAAAAGAAGGTGACAGTCTTAACAATTGCTGTTCTTATTTTGTTTGGGGCTTTCATTTTTGTAGTTCTTTATACCCAGGGCCAGACACATGGTTTTCATGAAGCACTACTGTAAAAACAGAGGGGGTGGTCCTATTTACTTAAACTAGAAGACTGAGCATGCATGGTTAGCATCATAATAATCAGGACAATGTGGAAAAAAAATATGCAGACCGGATTAGTTTACTATTTGTGTAGGTGTTGTGCTTGGGTTCAGGAGAGTGTGGGAAAAGCATGTGCCATCCTGGCTCTGTAAATACAGTCTTATGGACAGGGACAAATTCTTTGATTCTGAGCAATTGAAAAGACTCCATGGATAGAATTATCCAACTCTGCAAAACAGGGCAAAGGAAACAAGATTTTGGAAGACTGGAAAGCAGGCTTTTCATCTGTCTCAATTAACTAGCAGTTCTACAAAGGCCATTCTTGTGATGGGCAAAATGTGAGTTGAGAGAGTCACTGCATTTCTCCCCCCACCAAACTAATTGCACATTTCCATGTTTCTGTGGTGGTTCATAGCACTTGACTATTATGGAAATGAGTATAACTTACTGGAAGAGGACCAGTTTTGCCTGCAGAAAGTCCCAGATTCAGTCTCTGGCATATGGAGGTGGATGAGCAAAACTCCTGCCGGAAATTCTAAGGAAGTGTTGCTCCTCAACTTTGAGTTAGATGAACTTATGGCTGATCTGGTATGCAGGTTGCCCAGCCCTGGTTTTGGAATGCTCTGCTTGTAGTCATCCATTTGGCATCTTCCTTTAACAGCATGTTTCCTGACTCATCCTGCTGTCTAGAGATGGTGGGCATCAACTCTTAGAATTCCATTCATTCTCTCTCTCTTTTAATCCCCCTCCATATTTATCTTATGTTTTACAAGCTGGATTTCTTAAAGGGAGAAGAAACCCCATAAGCAAGTGTTCACATGAAATCATCGTCTACTTTTTCTTCATTGAAAGTGGATGGAGGACTACCATTTTTTAGGGAGAAAGTATAAATATGTAGTTTCGGATGCTGCTGTGATCTCCAGCTATCGATCTTCAGTAATTTTATTTTTCTCTCCTAGGCAGATTTACTTTTAGAAGGGAAAAAAGAAGTGGTGTGGGAAGGGTCAAATGGATGATGATTTTCCTTGGACCTGTGAAGTTCCATGAATGGATGTGTAATGGGCAAAATGTGTGATGGGCTTCACTTTCATTTTCTTATTCTTGTTGCCAACCCTAGCCCTATTTATCTGACTTAATGGAAGCCTCAGCAATCTTTTCAGGGGATCATTGTGCATGTGTCTGGCCTCTCTCCCTGCATGTGCAATCTCACATCCCAAACTTCCTGCAAGTTTAGGTATACTTGCCCAACATTTTGTGAGACTCTCATGAGGATTTGGCCATGTCTGGGATATGACATAGGCCAATGTTACTCTCAGACTGCTGGGGAAAACTGCCATAAAGCTACATCTGCTCCAGTGATCCTTTTGGTTGGTACTTTTGGTCTCCCTGGTATTGTTCTGCTTCACAATACATATGCTTAGAATGCAGAGATGAGACAGGGAAAGATTTATTAACCTCTATAGCTCAGCCTCTTTCCAGACATCTAAGGAGCAGAACGTCTTCCAATTTACTCTTAATTTGCCCCAAATTCCACAGTCATTATTCAGTAACAAAAGAGTTTGAAGTGAGTGGCTCCTTACATTAGGGATTATTTCTCCTGCCCTCTCTAAAAATTGGATCTTCAGTCTTAGTTGCATCACTTTTCTCATCAATATTTTTTGTGCTTCTTCCTTGATCAATTATTAGTGAACATATACAGATGCATTTTAGCAGATTGGAATTCTTTGGGCGAATAAATCATTCAATTTCACCCTACCCTTTGTTGCTCTTTTCTAAACTGGCAGTCGTTTTTCTTCATTTTTGATAATATCCTAACCTCATCAAAGCCCCCAGCAGATATTGGCTACCTTCCAGATTTGCAAATTCAAACAATATTGCTTGAAAATCTGAAGCAAACATCCACCATTAGACTTGAAAATGTTTTGGCACTACCACT